TTTCCCGCACGGTGCTGGCCCTTCAAATACAAAGGTGATAAAGAAACGAAAAACAAGTTCATGCCTCAGAATCCTCAAGTTACGATTTTATTGTAGCCACAAAAGCAGGAGGAAAAAGTCACATCCCCCGGCCCCCTCCATTCAGTGAACTCCACCGGGTACCGTGACGCCGAACAACAGACCCTGGTATCGTGTGCACCAGTTGCAGACCGAGCGAAACCTCCCTGCGCTTGCTCTGTGGAACGGCCCCCTCAGAGGAGACTCCGTGACATACAGACGCCCCACTGAGTCGAACCCCCCTGAGCCCTTTGTTGCTATCATGCCATCGCTGCCTGGCAGAACCGCGCACAGGTTATTCATGGGCTTTGGGTTTCACACTGAAAAAGCTCAGTGCAGTCTGGCCCCTCGAAAAGGTCAGAGATCCTAATCTGCCCAGAAAGGCTGCTCTGACCTTTCTACCTGTGGTAGCGCAAAGGGGATAAACGTGTCTCACCCCTTCCCTGGAAGTTACCCAGAGGGCAACCTTTACAAAATGAATCCCCCTCCAAGTACCATTTCCCCCTCTGAGTTAAACCAGGCTACGCCAAGCCGTGGTGAAGGAGGGCGGCAGCTTGAATACGTTTTCCAGCACGTGTACAAAGCAGCGTGCTACGACCACTGACCGGTGCTGTCTCATTGCGTCCTCGTGTTCCCCCCTCTGTCTGTCTGCAGCTGGTCTCTCTCGTCTTACACTTCCCTTGGCCCAGAGAGCTCCCAGGGATCGTCCTGTCGTCCTGTTTGTCCAGCGCCTAGCGCAAAGGCTGGGTGTGTCACTAGGCCCTCCAGTAATATAAATAATACAGATGGCCAAGCACTGCGCCTACAGCGATACCGACGCCGATGGCTAGATGAAAAAACATCCGTGATTAGACTGAGGGGGGAGCGCTCTGGCATGGCCCTGTTAGCCCCTCGCTGTGCGTTTCCAACACACCATCAATGTACTGCAGGCTAGTGAATAGGGCACTCGAGCAGAACTCAGAAAACCTGGGGTCTGACACTCTGCGACTAGGGTGACCAGATGTCCCCATTTTATAGGGACAGTCCCAATGTTTGGGTCTTTTTCTCATATAGGCTCCTATTACCCCCCACCCCGTCCCGATTTTTCACACTTGCTGTCTGGTCACCTTACTCTGCGACTGACCTGCTGTTTGACCCCACAGGTCTCTCTCTGGTCTCTTTCGACTGTAAGCTCTGGAGGTCCCGGTGTTTGTACAGCACCTGGAACAATGGCGGCTACAAGCACTCCCCTGGGACAGGATTAACTTCCTAGGTACCAGCATTTCCAGCTGAGGGTCTGAAGAGCCTCAAGGGGCCTGGGAAGTAGCAATGAAGAAAAGCACCGAGGGGAGAAAATCACCTGCCCCGATCACACACGCAGAGCAGGAAGCGGAGCCCATCTACACTGCAGCGAGCCTCAAAGACCAGGTCAATTGCCCGGGGCTCCCAGGGGTCAGGCTCCAGGCTAAATATGGCAGCGCAGACATTCGGGCTAGGGCTGGAGTCCAGGCCGAGCCCCGTCCCCGTTGCGGGGTCTCTCAGCCCAAGCCTGAATATCGACACTGCACTATTTTAGCCCCGCAGCCTGAGCCCAAGGCGACTGAGCAGGGCCTTTTCCGGCAATATAGACACCCCCCCGAGAGCCAGACGGACCTTCCAGAGCTGGAGCCGAACTCAGAAGTGGGGAGGAAGTCGCTGTCGTTCCATTCACATCGAGGGGGTTGCCTGAGTTTGGAGTCTAGAACGCGGAACTGGTCCTGGTAAGAGCACGGGAACCCATCTCGAAGGAGCGCGCTCTGGGGAGGCCAGGCAAGGCCTTGCCAGTTACCACCCCCCTCTGGCTCAGCTACACTGCAGAACAACATTCCCAGGACCTCAGCTGGAATCCCGGGGGACTCCATCGGGGAGAGATCTTCATGTCCCGGAGCCTCCCTCCCCTCTGTGGCTCCTGTTCCGATTCTAGCTCCCTGCTTTCAGCGGAGGTCAGAGATGGCCCCTGGTCTGGCCTGGCCTCCATTCAGAGCCGCTCCGGGAACGGTGACCTGTTTCACGGGTGTGGAATGGAGCGGGGAGGGAAGAGGATGCAATCCACACTAGTCTGGCTCAGCAAACCTCCAGGCTGAGAGGAGTGGCAGGTCCTAGTCCGAATATCCAGGCCCCGGTGAACTGGTGTCCGTATTACAGATATACCCCATGCAGTTGGACCCCTGCTGGCAACCTGAGCAGAGAGGCCAAAGATTGATGGGGCTGTGGTGACCAAATTTCCCTCTTGGCCCTAGAGATGGCCCTGCGTGGCAGGGTTGGGCTGAGCGGTAAAGAAATTAGGCCCTGTTCTCATGTACTCTCCAGTCTCTTTAAGCTGCTCTGACAGTGTCAAGGGGTCTTAAAATGGGAAGAAATGCCCCCCCCACCCCCTCCCAAGAACTGCTCCTGCCCTAAAGGACCCTCCAGCTTGTGCAGAGATGACAGCAAGGCTCTGGAGCGGCCCCTGCTCCCAGCGGAGGGGGTGGATTGGGGCAGCCCCAAGGCTGCTCTAACTTACACTATGTGCCAGTTAGGACTCTGCAGGACCCCACAATACCGGGAGCTCGTGAGTGAGTTCTAGGGCTCTCTCCCACAAACCTCCTTCCTCTTCAGGAATGAAGTAACAGAATCAGCCGCTCTGAATCAGACTACCTGTTCTTGGGACTCATGTCCAGGGCCATCAATCTGGCATCTTTCCCCAGCATGTTGCCTTTCTCAGGTTCAGCTGTTTCAATTCCTTCCTCCCCCAGAGGGTCCTCACCCCTTCCCCCTTTTAATCGTAGCTGTGACAGACACAGCCTTGGCAGCCTCAAATCAACAACAAAATAGAAATAGGGCTGTGAGCAAGGTTACTCGAGTGCCGTTCAAGGCAGACACACCAATTGTTTGTCATGACGTCTCCCCATCCGTGAGCTAGTGCGGTGCAGCACTTGGGCCGGCAAGCAGCAAGGCTGGGGTAACAATAACCCAGGCACAATGAGAAAGAAGTGACAAAGGATTCTTTGGTTTTCAGCTTGGCAACCATTCTGTTCAGATGTGCGTACGCACACGCACTCTCTCTCTGCTTTCCCTGGGAAGTGTCTGAACCCGGGGTTTGTCATGCAGGGGAACTGACCAACACAACCAGAGCAGAATAATGATTCCCAAATAGTTCCGCCCACTAGTCAGTTTCCCTGCGGACAAGTCCTTAGCCGAGCTGGTTGGAACATTGTCCATGGAATGGTTTCTCATGGCAGTATGCTGCTTCGAAGCTGAAACATTTCCAGGGCTGGAGCATTTTGATGGGAAGGCTTCTGAGGTCCGGGGTGGACTCGTCAGTCGCTTCCAAAGAGAGACCCCTGAAATGCAAACCTGAACAACTCAGTCCAAAGAAGGGTATTTCGAGACAATTCCATTTGGGGGGGGGGGGGAGAAACTTTTGAAAGGTTTTGGTTTCGCTCCGACACAAAAAGAAAAAAATTCCAACCCTTGGAAATTCTCGCAAACTGGAATCATTCTCCAGCCAGCTTTAGTCTTGTAACTAAGACTCTGCAAAGCTGGCTTTCGTTCCCAGCTCTGCCAGACTTGGGCAAGCCGGGGTCATGATCCCTATGTTACAGACGGGGGAAACCACTTCCCTCTATCACAGGCAGTCGGGAGGATAGATTGTGCTGGGTTTGTGAGGTGTTCCTGAGGATGGGGACATCTTTGGGCAAACCATGCTCCAGAAGCCATGACGTTTGAGCAGGAAGAGGCCTGGGGCATTAAATTACTCATGTTTATTTATAACAGACTTTCAGCCAGTACAGTACAAAACTTACAGTAGTATATCTCATTACACAAATATTTACTTACAATATATTACAGATACAAAAAGCTTTTGCGGTAAGAGAGAGTTTTGTTGTTGAAAAGCGAGTCTAACCTCACAAAAAAGGGAAAAAAACCCGAAGACAACAGCAAATCCATTAACGATATACAAATGAAAACTCGTTAGAAAGGAAGGAGGAGTCGTCGGAGCTGGAAGAGGGTTGGGGTATTGCACATCATATTTTTTGTTCTTCATACATCTGATTAAAAAATATATATATATTTACACAAGTAAAGCGACCTGGAGTTTTACAAAATTCCTACATTTGTTTTAGACTCTTTACAGGTAAAAGAAAAAAGATGCGGAAAAAAGGTGTTTATAAATTTCAGAACTTTCCTTTCCCTTTGTTTAAAAAACACCCCCCCCCTTTGAATATTGTGTTGGTTTTACCTTTTGAAAAGGGGAACGGGAGGCATGGGGGGGTTGTGGGGCTCTTCATACTTATTCACAGTCTACTGGGGATAACAGTCAGGTCAAGCTTAGCTGAATTTCGTACCAAATCAACAATATGAGAGTGCAGCAATTGTGGTCAGAAAGCGACCTTGGCTGTCAGGGAAGCTGAGCGGATCTGATCTGGGCAAAGGAGTTTTTACTCCCGGGAGCCCCGCAGGAGCCAACTGAGCACCCGAAGGGTGATTATGTCCTGCCGTGTGCAGTGCTGGTCCACCTGGGGACTTTAGAGGCTGGAGGGAGAACTAAGCCAGCCGGGTTTTCACACTGAGTGGGAGATGGTTGGTGGCACAGAAGTTGCCTTTGCAAGTCAAAAGGTGGATTTTTCGAAGTGAATCAGAGAGAACACGCAGCAGTTATAATGTCACTTTTACAAGTCTGCTTTTCAGACCACAACCGTGCTTTAAAAATCCCCCAAGCGGCAGCCAACCCGGGCACCGGCTTCCCATGACGGAATTTACCAAATGCCAGTAAGAAAAGGAGACCCACGTGTGTCTCAGCTTTGTTTCCAGTTCTGCTCACAGAAGACCGCTTGACATGATGTTTGTTTCCTTCTCTCTCCGCCTGCTCAGTTGCAGACAGACGGCAGGAAAAGTGCATCGTTTCTGCGTGAGAACCGACAGTTTGGGGCTCTGTTGGAGAAGGCTTCTCAAAAATTACACACAATCGAGCCATTTTGCCTTTTATTGCTACCTTGTGGAAAACCAGCAGTTTCTCGCCAATTTAACAAGTGCTATCCATAACATCCAGAAAGGCCTAGCACAGTCCTGCCTGGTTTTCGTATTCACGACGTACCTAGATGGAGATTTCTGCAGTCAGATCACATGGGAAGAGAAATTATTTCTGAGCGTATTTATGAAAAGGGTTTGACTCCAGATCCTGGTATTTTGAGGACTGGACCAGTGCTGAGGCAGTGACTTTGAAAAGGTCAGATCTCTCAGATCACTAGGCCTAGAACTGAATGCTCTGAAGTAACGGAATCATGTCATTCTGATTAACATCTTGCTTCTCACTGCAGTTCTGTTCAAAGCAGATGCTAGCCCAAGAACCACTAGAGTTTAAAACCCCCGTCTGCGGCTCAGGAATCCCACCTTTTGAGAGGTATAAAGTATGAGGTCAACATGTTCAAACAAGGATGACATCAGGCTCCTACCCGAGTAAGTGGCTTTATGTTCAAAGGTGCTGGCACCTACAGATCTCCTGGCCTTCGACAGCAGCTGTGGGTGCTCTCCAATTCCAAATAAAAAAAATAATCAGACCACTTATTTTAGAAGCTTAAGGATTGGGGTTTTCAAACACCTTTGAAGACATGAAGTGCCCAACTCCCAGAGAAAGTCAATGAGAGTTAGGTGCCTTTTGAAAAATCCCAGTCCAAATGTGGAGGTCAGTGCTCAATTTTAGTCTCAATCTAACTTTGGTCACTCTCCGGAATGACTGATAAAACCCGGCTCTCTTTGGCACTTCCGCTGGAAGATGGTGATCAGAATGCCAGGATGTTATGGTCTGTTTTCTCGTGGCCTGCCAGGGCTCAATACAGTACAAAATGCTTTCTGAGCCAGTCAAACATTTCACAACCACTTCTGGGAGGAGAGACCAGAAAGGAATAAGCAAGTTTGCACCACAGCTGTTAGATTTATACACTGGGAAGGGGGGTGGAGAATGTCTGCTAGGGAACTTTCCTAACCTCCTCGACTGGTCATCGCAGCAGACACGACAGGCCCTTCTGCCCAAGCCGGTTTGTGCCGCCAACGGGCTTCTGAAAAAAAACGGCTCAGCGGTTTCGTTTCACATCTGGATACACAAACACCGTCAACAGAAAAGCAAGAAGAAGAAGAAGAAGAAGAAAAGAGCGAGCAGCGAGCGTTGCCGCTTGTGAGGTGGTTCTGTTTGGTTTAGTAGAAAAAGAACAAGCCTTTGGTTTAAACCTCAAGGGAGCAGTTTGTTGGGCTGCTGTTGAGTGATTATTTTTATGCATCGTGGGCCTTGGTATAAAGCAGGGATCCCTCCCCTCACGCCCCCAAGTTATGGCCCCTGGAACACAGCCAGGCTCTGGGGTCCCCCCCACCCTGTTTCCGATGGGCAGCGTTACCTAAGACAGAGCCGTGGGGTTAATTGACACTGTGGCCTACTGACCAATTTATGGGGGACGGGGACTGCACATCCCCCCACCCCTTTTGCACATAGTGGCCTGGTGTAACTCTCACGCCCCTTGCAAGTGCAAGTACCGTCAGGATCCCAGCTGCAGGGGATGGGGAGCGGGTTTGCTATAAAAATAAAATAACGGTGGAGGCTGCCTGCTTCTCTGCCGCCTCTCTGGCGCAGGTGAAAGCCCGTCCATTGGCTACTCCCGCTCGTTGTCCACGGACTGAATGGACTGTTTTCAAATCCCTCTCCCAGTAGTTCTAGGATTCTGGGGACCTCCCCCCTCATGATTTTGGGGGTTTCCATTGACATGATTTCCTGCTCATCCCCTTACTCCTGGAAGCAGCAGCCCCACAGATCCTGCTGGTTTTGCAAGTCCCAGAAGCCAGCAGTCACCCTTCCCCATTTCTTGGATGTTTCCCTACAGTACCCAAGCAAGATCCCGGTCAAGTCCCTCCCCCAGGGGGCTTGAGCACCTCCCAGTAGTTAACAGTCTGCTGGGGCAGACGCAACTCTCAACAGAAGCCACTTCTCTGATGCAGCAAATCCCCCACCCCCCAGACTCACACATTTAACACATCACTCTAAAGACACAATCTGCTTACGCGCAAGTGCTAGAGACACAACGTCCACATCTCTCTGCTGTGCCGCGCAGCATCACAACTACCTGTGGGGCAAAACGACCCCAACCCAACCCAACAACAAGCTTTCGCATTGAAAGTGCAGCTCTTTAGGGCTTATGCAACTGACCCAAGTCCTCTGTGCAAATAAGAGCCAGACACGTGCTCCCCGGGAAGCTACGGACTCCGACGGCAAAGTGCCCAGCGGCGGCCCCTGGGGAAAGCTGCCGAAGAGGAAGAAACTCTTCAACCATGCAGCACAGCATGAAGCGACGGGATTGGGGTTCCTAGGGGCTGACCTGTTTAACGACCGTCCTTCCTTCCCTGGATACTGTCCCCAGCAACAGTTCCCTAGGTGACACTACCAAAGTCCTCGTGGGATCAAGTCCAGGGTTCAGCAGGCAGAGGGGTCACCACTGTGCTTGCTAAAGGAAGCAAAGTGCTTTGGGGGAGCGGGAGTCAGTGACAGGTGCCTAATCCAGGACTGAGGCCTACACCTGTTTCTTACTCACGCTTACCAGGCTACTCAAGAGCTGACCCCGGACGCTGCCCAGAAGGAAGCTAATTCAGCCAGTGTTCTCCTCAGCTCTCTGGGAGCGGAGGGGGCTCAACAAGCCAGCAGAGGAGAACAAAGCCGCCACTCAAAGATGCTTGCTATCCTCCCGGCTAAAGTACTTTCAGCTCCTCACGGGCACAGCTGGATCCTACCCAGATCCTCCAAGCCTTTACCCTCCTACCTCTGATCTGAGACGCAGTTTGTACTTAAAAGCCATGAGCGTCGGAGCCCTGGCAAGCGGCCTGTACAGCTCCACCTTCCTTCAACAGGAGGCACTGTGACAGCTTCATCCGCCCCAGTTGCTCTGTGCCTCGTCCCATCCTCTCTGCCTGCTCCAGGAGACTTCGTCACAAAGCCGCCTCGGGGACAGAGGGCTCCCGGGGGCACTGATCTGCGTTCCAGGCAGTTTCATGCCACAGAGATACCGCCCATTAAAGCTTGGGGCGCGTTCACCCCATGGACACCCCCTGTGGCTAGCTTGTGGCTTTCCTGGCCAGGGGAGTTCTCTTCTCTTTAGCACCTAATCTGAGACTCTCGTTGCCCGACGGCAGCTTGACAGGTGGCTCAGGACTGAAACCGAAAAGAGTCAGAAGGAAGGGGCGGGGGCGAGAGGCTTAAACCATAAGACGCGTGTTCACGCGTGTGCATGTTACGTCAACATGTGCTTGAGGTTTACATGCTCCTCTCGGCAGAGAGAGAAGTAGATCAAGTCTCTGACAAAAATTCAAAGAGCTTTAGGGAGAGAGTTATAAAGAAATAAAAAGCTTAATAAATAACTAAGGGAGGACCAGGAAGGAAAAGCACAAAGAATGTAAAAAATCCATTAACAATATTTAAATAACTCCGTTTATAAAAAGGCAAATCGTTAAGAGCTCCCCTCGTGATTTTTTTTTTTAATTATTGATTTTTTTTTTTAAATATTTTGTAGCCAAAGTCAGTGCAAAGGAGTATAAAAGAAAAACAGGTCCATGCCCAACGGGAGGGGGCGGAGCTAGAGCCAGGGGGAGGAGTCACGGGGCGATCAGGGCGAAGGGGTAGGATTGAGTTAGCCTACACTTTGTGCTCGCCCCGCACTATATGGGAGGAGAATTCGTACCGATCCTGGCTGTGGTAGCCACAGATGTTGCACTCGAAAGGGTCTCTGAAGCCGTGGCAGCCCATGTGGATGGTGAACATCACGTGGTCCAGGAAGAGGATCCGGCAGTGCTCGCACTTGAAGGCTTTCACCTGCTCCCCCTCCTCGTTCACCACCCGCAGGACGTCTTTGGCTGAGCTGGGCGTTGCGCGGGCAGCGGGGGTGCCCTCCTGCAGCTTGGGGTCCTCTTTGGCGTAGGCTGGGCTCTGCCGGCTGCTGGTGCAGGTCCTCTCTTCGTGGTTGCTCTCCGTGTCTGTGGAATCCTGGCAGCCATTGCTGGGCGACACGCCCTGCTCGCGCCCCCGGTACACGATCTGCGCCCCCTCGGGAATGTCCTCGTGGCCTTCAGCGGCTTCTCGGCTCCCCGGGATTTCCAGCCGGCCCGGGATGGGCTGGATCTGGGTGTAGACGGAGCTGATCACAGGCGTGAGCTCCGAGATGCAGTTTGTGGAGGGGAGGCGGAGGGGACGCAGGTGCTCGGCTCCCACAAACGACAGCGAGCTGCCGTAACTGGGGTCGATGGGGTGGTGGGTGCCCACCAGCTCCACGTCCTTCTCGAAGCTGGAGTTCACATCAAAGGAGAGGTCGGAGAGGTTGAATCGCATCTGCTTCTCCCCTGGGGGCAAGGAGCAAGGGGTCAGAACCCGGGGCAAGCCCCACACGCTCCACAGAGACGAGCTCCGCTCTGCACGGCTCAGCCTGTGATCCCGTCACACGGCAACCCACGCAGGCCTGGGCCTCGGCACTGTCCAGCTGCAGTGACTGAACAGTAGCGCTACTACCCCAGGATGGGGCCAGGGGAGCCAGGTGTGCAGGGGAGGGGGGGGTCAGCAGGGGGCGCTCTCCCCTCTTACAGTAGGATCAGGGCCCTGCTGCGCACGCTGACCGCAGTGTCTCAGCGTGGTTGGGTGCTGCTGGGGGCACAGACTTCCCAGCGAAGATTCCTGGTCAGCCCTCGGAATTACACCCCCTCCTCCCAAACGCCCCCCGGCAGTTTCGAATGGAGGAGAGGTTCTACGCTGCCCCCTTCTGAACACCGCTGTGGTCCCAGTGCAGAAAGGTGCCACGTTCCCCCACCCCAGAGGTGACTGCATTTCGGGGAGGTGAAGGATCCCTGTCTGTGCAGGGCCTGCAGGATGAAAGCGCTGGGTAAGGTCAGTGGCGTTAGTACATACAGGGCTGTAGCACATTCAGGGGGCCCCGCAGAGGTGGTCAGTTTCTTCACGTAGGGCCAAGGAACTGCTGCCAACCCCTCCCTCACCTCTCCCTCTGCTCTTCCCGGGAAGCAAGGGGGAGCCCCTTACCCACAAATTTCTGAGGTGTGGAGCGTTTCCGTTTGGTGAGGCTGTTCGCCAGCCGGTCAATAAACGTCGGCCGATCGGACGAGGGGTGAAGCAGAGAATCCGGCACCATCTCCAGGTCTCGCATCTCATCGCCTGCCAAGACAAGGGAAACCCATGTAGCCAATACCCGATGCGGGACAGGGGAGATCGCTTCCACGCCCCGCGCTGGAGGCGGGGCAGGTGAAGAGTGGGGCACACGGTCACACCTCTCCTTTTATCCACTGGGGGAAGGTCCATTGTCCCTGGCTCAGTCCGGAAGCCAAAAGCTTACCCACTTCTTCCACGGATCAGTCCTCCAACGGCACCACCAGCACACGCTCCTTTGCCCGAGCAGCCCTCCCCGCTCTGGGGAAGGGACTCTCTCTCTGTCGGTGCTTTAAGCATCCCCTGCCGCCACAGCGCTAGAGAAGCGTTCATGGCAGGAGAGGCGTCTCCACCCCCGCCGGCAACCTGTCGCTCTCACCGCTGCTGGCGAGGGTGCTTTTGCCATTGCTCCTCGGGGCTGTGATCAGCCAATTCAAGCGTTATTGACTATCGCCCTCAGCTGACGTACCAGGGACTGGCATGACCCTTGGTTCTACAACTCCCCCCTTGCCCTGCAGGGAGACCCACTCCCAAGCAGAGACCCTGCTACTGCCAACCGCGTCTCCGCGGACAGTGCTTCGACAGCGCGGCAGCAAACCCTCGGAGACGGATGGCTGCAGGCTGTTGGGGAAGAAAGGGCATGAGGTGCTCCTCAACTTGCCTTCTCCTGTGGCCTCTCCAGAGTGCCAGGTGCCAACTTGGCATCTGACTCACACTTGGTGTTGTGTTTAATTTGGATTGTAAAGGCCTCAGCAGAGCCCTTCCCTTCCTATGGCTGTGAAGTCCCACCTATGTCTCTGGCAGCCTAGAAACAATAATGATAGTGCGGAAAATTGGAACTACAGTCTCAGACCAACTGGCCTTTTCGCTAACATCCAGTGTAGTGTCAGATCTGCCCTCTCTCCAGGGGATTCTCCTGCCCTGGAGGTCTGCAAAGAGAAAGCTTCACCGTAGCCGGCTGCTCCGCCTTGGCAGCCAGGTCAGGCTTTGCTAGCAGGGCGGGTCTTTATGATCCTTCGGGTTGATTTTTCCTTTGAACCAAGGTGCGGATGGTGGCACTAGCCAGCTCTTACGAGCTCAGCACAAGTGTCAGTTCCACAGAGCTGACGGAGAGGCACAGAAAGCGTGCGAGAGACACGCCCACAATGCCAGGCCTGTCCCGCTGGGCAGGTTGGCGTGCTGGGCACCGGCGTGCAGAGATTCCATTTTGGCCCAAGGCGATCTCCTGACCACGGAGGTGCTATTTTGGGAGCTGGAGGTGCTTTACACACCGCTGGAGATTGTTAGATTTCAGAGCAGTTAGTCTGGTGCTGATCAGTTTGGAGATGATCCATTTGTTCGCAAGACCCCTGCTTTGTAAGGTTCAATCCTTTGCTTACTAAGCATCAGCTGTAACAGAGCCTAGGAACGGCCATACTGGGTGAGAGCAATGGTCTGTCTAGCCCAGTGTCCTGTCTTCCGAGAGTGGCCAATGCCAGGTGCCCCAGAGGGAATGAACAGAACAGGGGAATCATCGCGGGATCCATCCCCTGTCGCAGAGAGAGGCTAGAGCATGGTTCTGCATAGTAAAGTTTTGTTTGTTAATGGGAAATGCTCTAAGGGGTTTTCTCCTAATAGAATTAGTTATAAAAAGGTATACGGTTATGCTGCAAGCGATCGACTGTACCAAACGACAGGCTCTGGGTAAGCGGATATTCATAACGAGGGAATACTTTGCTCTTCCTTGGTCCCTTAGCACCTTCTATCCCAGGGTCTCCAGAGCATTACGCCCTCCCGCTTCCAAGAGCCGTTATCCCATTTCATTGGTGGGGAAAAGAAATGGGAAGTGACATGTCCCAATGTTACATAATCTAGTGTCAGTGGTGGAGCTGGGAACAGAACCCCGGAGTCCACACTCCCAATTTTCTACTCTAACTGCTAGTCCACATGCCCTTGCAGAGCCAGGAAGAGAAGCCAGAAGTCCTGACTCTCCCCCCTGCTCTAAGCTCCAGATGTCCCAGCAGGCGCCTGGGACTAGCCAGTTACTGGACAACGTACTGACCTTGCTGGCTGGCCAGCGACTGCTGCTCCGTGTTCAGACTCTGCAGATAGTTGTGGCACCGCTCCTTGTGCTCCTCCAGCGTGCTCTGCTGCTTGTAGCTCCGGCCGCAGTAGTTGCATTTGTAGGGCTTGCCGACTGTGGGGGAGGAGACTGGAAAAAATGAAAAAACAGATCCTGGCCATCAAAACAGATATTACCCTGAAACCCAGCTATTACCCGGAAGCCGTCACAGCTACGTGCAGGCCAGCCACATGCGTGCAGCAACTCAGAGGGGTTAAGGGCGTAACACGGCTGGGATCGAAGCAGGCGGATTTGCCAAGGAGCCGGTACTGATGTGCAATGTCATTGACTAATCGAAGCGCCTCTTGGCGTTTGATGCCACAGCATGTCTGAGCTGGGCACCAAATCGGTCAGGCCCTTCTTGCAAACTCCGCCTGGACCCTTCCCATTTTAGTCCCATAACAGCTTTTCTAAAACACCTTTACTAATCTGTACAATGCACCAGTTAGTGTCATGCATCTGTCAGATTTAAAATGACGCTGTTTCGAGCCAAGAGCGGAGGAGATGTTTCCTCTGGAATGAACGAACACGCCAGCCTGCCTGGCCTAGCCCTCGCAGGAGGCAGGCAAGCTTGATCCCTTCCTTACAGATCAGGGGACAGCGGGCCGACACAGGTCAGGTGTCTGGCTGAAGACTGCAGCAATCCGTGACGAGTTAGGAACTCGAACCCAGGCCACTCAGCCGGCTCTAGTCATTGGGCGAACGGCCTTTCCAGAGCCAGGATCGGAACCCAGGAGGTCTGCCCCCCCGGCTCCTTCACCTCGTCCCAAACCCAATGGCACTGATCTCACTCCCCCTTGTTGAAGGGTTCTCCCCTCCCAAGCAGTCTTCGCACAGCAACAAGGCATCAGCTGCTTCTAGATTTTGAAAGGGGAGGGGAAGGTTTGAGCTTGTGGGATGCGGATTCAGGACGCCAGCCTCCTCGGACTCGTCCTCTCTCTCACAGCTGCCCAGCCGCATTGTCCTGCCCCTCTGGCGTAAGTGTGGCTGGTCTGCAGGATTGGCCCCCGGAAGCCAGGGCAAGATTGAAAAGTGCTGCCGCAGCCCTGCTGGAAATCCCCAATGCTTTGTCACACCCGCGCTGTGCCTGCTGCAGCTCACCAGAGAACGGCCGGCTGGTTTTGTCTGGTGACGGCTTGCTGCTGAGAGCACTGGTAAGAGAAGTGCTTAGTGATGGGTCCGGAGCAGCACTCTGACCTCTGCTAATTTCCCCATTGATGGCTGATGGTTCTCTCAGGTGCGACAGACACAGCAGAGCCATGCAATGTTTGGGGCCACGCGAGCCGGGCACGTGGCAGGTTGCACTGATGAATTAGTATGGAGCTTTTGATATGATCGTTACACCCTGCAGGGGCAGACAGCAGTCCTGGAGACCCCACGCCCTGAGCATCTGATGCAGTCCATGCAGAGGACGGGGAAGCACTTTTGCATTGTTTTAAGACAATTTGGTGCATTAGGATGGATCCTGGTGCCGAGAAGCAGCCAAGAATGGAGCTGCGTTTTGCTGGGCATTGTACAAACAGAGCAGGGGACAGTCCTTACCCGGAAGAGCTCCGTCAACACAGACAGGACAAAGGGGGATATAAACCCAAGCAGAGCAATCCATGTGATGGCGGCAAACGTCACGTGAGCTCCATTGGGGGAGGGGGCGTTCAGCAGGCCGGGATACGCTCAAGGGAATGAAAAGGGAAGGGAGAAGGGGACAGATCATGGGAGAAGGGCAGATGTGGAGTTTGTGGATGCAAATCCTGCAGGTGAAGGTAATACGCCTTCTGTGACTCATTCACTCTTAGCAGCGACGCTCAAAACCTTTGATCCCCATACGCGTGAGGCACGGGCCCCTAGCTGCTCATTCCTCTCAGCCGAGAGCTTGCAAGTGTTCCATGGCAGAGGAATCTGGAAGCTGCCCAGATCCCGCCCTGCTGGCGTAGTGGCAACAGAGGCTATTTATTATGTCCCTCCAGTGGGGGATTTTGGCCACCTCCTGCCCGGAGGGAGCAGTTCTGCCCCGGCAAAGAGCGGGACTCGCCAGGCTGAGGCGCCTTTTCCTACAAAGACGTTCTAGGGAGCGTGGAGCTTCCCTGAAACCCTGCCAAGGCCTTTTACAGGAGTTCTAGGTAAGCGGGAGCCACCACAGTGCTCGACACGCCTGACCAGCCCTGTGCCACCACGCAGCTTACAGTACTTGGGACTAGACTCCACTAGCGACAAGCTGCCTCCCCCGGGTCAGAGCTGAAAAAACCGAAGGCCCCGAGGTTCTGCAGCTAGTCAGCGGCGGCGCTAGGGCCAGAACTCGGGAGTCCCGACTCCCAGGCAAATGCTCGAACCACTTTAACCTTTGCCCAACGCTCTGTAGGAAAGGGACGGGGGGGCGCAACCAGCGCACAGCTACGGAACTGGAACACGCCATTACCGCCGAGGGTGAGACGCCCCGCGGGGAAGAGTGTGGTCTGATGGGTACAGCGAGAGGCTGCAAGTCAGGATTCTTGGGTTCCCTTTTAGACCGGAGCTAGAGTAGCATTCTGCTTTGCGGTCTACTTCTCTGAAACTGTCAAGTGTGCGTAGGGGCGGCGGGTGGGTTCCTATGTTTTTAGCCAACTACCAGAGTAATATTCTGATACTGGCCCCATTTGCGAGACTCAAACGCTTTGCCAGAGTTCTCCGAACCATTCAGAGGAAGTGCCTGCGGGGAACGAAACCGTCGCTCATCAGATACGGTGGCACCTGCGTCACGAACGCACCGTCTTGGGGTCTGAGGCTTGGGTGGAGTTTTTCCCCTCGCTGAAACCGCCATGCTCAGACCTGCCCGAGCCAGACTTATTGAGTCATGTTACAGAAAACGCTTATTTGCTTTGCGACGTGTGGTTTAACCTTTAACTACTCTGATTTGTCAAGAAAAAAATGTTTGCCCCTCATCCGCTCACACAGCTGGAACTTTACCATTTCAAGTTCTGCACTCTCATAAAAATCACGTCCTATGTATGAAGCTCCTTTCATTGAGGACCTCAAGGGTGCTTCGCATAGAATCAAATATCAGGGTTGGGAGGGACCTTAGGAGGTATCTAGTCCAACCCCCTGCTCAAAGCAGGACCAACCCCAACTAAATCATCCCAGCCAGGGCTTTGTCAAGCCGGGCCTTAAAAACCTCTAAGGATGGAGATTCCACCACCTCCCTAGGGAACCCATTCCAGTGCTTCACCACCCTCCTAGTGAAATAGTGTTTCCTAATATCCAACCTAGACCTCCCCCACTGCAACTTGAGACCATTGCTGCTTGTTCTGTCATCTGCCACCACTGAGAACAGTCTAGAGCCATCCTCTTTGGATCCCCCCTTCAGGCAGTTGAAGGCTGCTCTCAAATCCCCCCTCATTCTTCTCTTCTGCAGACTAAACAATCCCAGTTCCCTCAGCCTCTCCTCGTAAGTCATGTGCCCCAGCCCCCTAATCATTTTTGTTGCCCTCCGCTGGACTCTTTCCAATTTTTCCACATCCTTCTTGTAGTGCGGGGCCCAAAACTGGACACAGTACTCCAGATGAGGCCGCACCAATGTCTAATAGAGGGGAACGATCACATCACGTCCCTCGATCTGCTGGCAATGCCCCTACTTATACTTATTCGCACACCTTAGGTAAGCCTCCAGCTTCTGGCACCAGGGCCAGTATTGTTACCCCCACTTTACAGAAGGTGGAAACTGAGGCCCAGAGCTAGGAAGGGAGGTCAGAGAGTCAGCAGCAGACTTGGTGACAGCCAGTCCTCTGCTCTCGCTCCTACACCACACCCAGTCTCAAGAAACCAGAGTTGTGCTACCCAGTTCTCCAACATGGGAAGGGATCTTAAGAGAATGAATACATCCTAGGCTTCCTCATTTCAATCTGAGTGCGAACACAAGGAGACACTTCTCTTGGGGGTCAGGGCAGGGACTAACTAACTGACTTGAAAGCGTAGCAGCCATAGTGGCGCTGACAGGCCAGAATAAACAACCCTATATAATCCTAGCTCCTGTAACCACCTCCTAGGTCAGCACTTGGTACATTTCAATTCTAGACAGAGACCTGAGCTCATCTCAGGCCCTTCCCCACTCCTTATGAAATGCTCCACACTGCAGCTGGGGTCCCAGGACGTGGGTTACTAGTTAAATCTCTCTCACCTTCAGTTCCACATCAGTTCCAAGCTGCCCAGATGGGCAAGAATGAAAATCTAGACAGAACCGAAAAGCTGATCCCCTTGCGGGAGTTTATTGCCGTGGAAGTCAACTACATTCTAACTGCATTTGTGACGCAGACGAGCGACACGTTCATTTCCTCTGAATGGTTCGGAGAACTCTGGCAATGCGTTTCAGATTCTAGTAAATGGGGCCAGAATGACTCTGTTAGTTGGCTAAAAACACAGGACCCCAACCTCCGCCCACCCACACATCCACTTCACAATCTCAGAGAAGAAAACTGCAAAGCAGTCTACAATGTAATGTAATTGTAACTAAATTATAAACCATGTAGATGACACCACACTGGGAGGGTTGCGCGCATTTTGGAGGACAGGTTTAAAATTCAAAATGGCCTCGACAGATCGGAGAATTGGCCTGAATTCAAAATGATGCAATTCAATAAAGTGCAAAGTACTTCTCTTTGGAAGGAAAAATCAAATGCCCAAACTCCAAACGGGGAATAACTAGCTAGGCGGTCGGACCGCTGAAAAGGATCGGGGGGCTCTAGTGGATCACAAAGTGAATATGAGTCAACAAGGCAATGGACTAGCAAAAGAGGCGAATATGATTCTGGGGTGTTTTAACAGGAGTGCTGTATGTCCCGCTCTACTCAGCGCTGGTGAGCTCCCAGCCGGAGAACTGCGTCCAGTTCTGGGCACCGCACTTTAGGAAAGATGTTGACAAACTGGAAAGAGTCGAGAGGAGAACAACAAAAACTTCTTCCAAAAACCTGCCGTGAGGAAAGGTTACAAACAAACCCTGGGCAGGTTTAGTCTGGAGAAAAGGTGACGGAAGGGGGGCCGGAGAACAGTCTGCCAGTACACGAAGGGCTGTTACAAAGAGGATGGTGATCGATTGTTCTGCATGTTCACTGAAGGTAGGACGA